ACCCCTTGCCTTTTGGGCAGTAGATAGCATATTACGATTGGTATCCATCATTGTCATATTGCAGTGGGTATCAGATCGTGCAATAGACCTGAAGGCTTACTGCCAAGCGCCCAGTATTTGCTGCCAAGCACCCAGAAAATGCCAAGGGCTATCAGTCATGCTGCACCGTCGTCTTAAGATGTAAAAAATAGATTTATTCTGTATTCATTTGCTTCCCCCCCTCCCTCCCTCCTGTTAAACCCTGGCTTTTGAGTTCAATCTTTGGGGGGGGGGGCATTCTGTGTGACAGTTGTTTGTGTTTCTCCCTGATGCAAAGCCACCTTTCTTGATTTTAATTCCCTGTACCTGTATGCCATGTCGTCACTCGCCCCTCCCTCCCTCCCTCCCTCCCTCCCCTGGTCCATCAGATACTACTTTCGTGCCTTTTTTCAGACCAGACGCCATAGCTAGCACTGGGATCATGGAGCCCGCTCAGATCACCGCGGCAATTATGAGCACTGTGAACACCACGCGCATTGTCCTGGAGTATATGCAGAGCCAGGACATGCCAAAGCAAAACCAGGACCAGGCGAGGAGGAGGAGGAGGCGATTGCAGCGCGGCGACGAGAGTGATGAGGAAATGGACATGGACCTAGACCTCTCACAAGGCACAGGCCCCAGCAATGTGGAAATCATGGTGTTCCTGGGGCAGGTTGATGCCGTGGAACGCCGATTCTGGGCCCGGGAAACAAGCACAGACTGGTGGGACCGCATCGTGCTGCAGGTGTGGGACGATTCCCAGTGGCTGCGAAACTTTCGCATACGTAAGGGCACTTTCATGGAACTTTGTGACTTGCTTTCCCCTGCCCTGAAGCGCCAGAATACCAGGATGAGAGCAGCCCTCACAGTGGAGAAGCGAGTGGCGATAGCCCTGTGGAAGCTTGCAACGCCAGACAGCTACCGGTCAGTCGGGAATCAATTTGGAGTGGGCAAATCTACTGTGGGGGCTGCTGTGATCCAAGTTGCCAGGGCAATGAGAGACCTGGTGATATCAAGGGTAGTGACTCTGGGAAACGTGCAGACCATAGTGGATGGCTTTGCTGCAATGGGATTCCCAAACTGTGGTGGGGCGATAGACGGAACCCATATCCCTATCTTGGCACCGGCGCACCAAGCCACCGACTACATAAACCGCAAGGGGTACTTTTCAATGCTGCTGCAAGCCCTGGTGGATCACAAGGGACGTTTCACCGACATCAACGTGGGCTGGCCGGGAAGAGTACATGATGCTCGCGTCTTCAGGCAGTCTCTTCTGTTTCGAAAGCTGGAGGAAGGGACTTTCTTCCCAGACCAGAAAATAACAGTTGGGGATGTTGAAATGCCTATCGTGATCCTTGGGGACCCAGCCTACCCCTTAATGCCATGGCTCATGAAGCCATACACAGGCAGCCTGGACAGCAGTCAGGACCTGTTCAACTACAGGCTGAGCAAGTGCCGAATGGTGGTGGAATGTGCATTTGGCCGTTTAAAAGCGCGCTGGCGCAGCTTACTGACTCGCTCAGACCTTAACGAAAAGAATCTCCCCATTGTTATTGCTACTTGCTGTGCGCTCCACAATATATGTGAAAGTAAGGGGGAGACATTTATGGCGGGGTGGGAGGTTGAGGCAAATCGCCTGGCCGCTGATTACGCGCAGCCAGACACCAGGGCGGTTAGAGGAGCACAGCAGGGCGCGGTGCGCATCAGAGAAGCGTTGAAAACCAGTTTTGTGACTGGCCAGGCTACGGAGTGAAACTTCTGTTTGTTGCTCCTTGATGAACCCTCTGCCCCTCCCCCACCACCCTGTTAACTCTACTTCCCTGCAAACCAACCACCCCACCCTCCCCTACTACCCTCCCCCCTTCGAGCACCACTTGCAGAGGCAATAAAGTCATTGTTGCTTCACATTCATGCATTCTTTATTAATTCAGCACACAACTAGGGGGATAATTTGAAAGGTAGCCCGGGATGGGTGGGGGAGGAGGGAAGGAAAAGGACACACTCCAATTTAAAACTTTAAAACTTATTGCTATGGAAATCATCTAGGGTGGAGTGAGTGGGTGGCCGAAGGCCCCCCCACCGTGTTCTTGGGCGTCTGGGTGAGGAGGCAATGGGACTTGGGGAGGATGGCTGCTGGTTACAGAGGGGCTGTAGCGGCGGTCTCTGCTCCTGCTGCCTTTCCTGCAGCTCAACCATACGCAGGAGCATATCACTTTGATGCTCCAGCAGCCGGAGCATCGACTCTTGCTTTCTGATTACAAGTTGACGCCACCTCTCCTCTTCAGCCCGCGTTTCAGCACGCAACTTCTCCTCTTCAGCCCGCGATTCAGCACGCCACCTCTCCTCTCGCTCATATTGGGCTTTTTTAAAATCAGTCATTGACTGCCTCCACGCATTCAGCTGTGCTCTGTCAGCGTGGGAGGCAGTCTGAAGTTCAGTAAACATTTCGTCACGCGTCCTTCGCTTCCTTCTTCGAATATTCACTAGCCTCTGCGAAGGAGTAAGATTTGCAGCTGGTGGAGAAGGGAGAGGTTGTTAAAAAAGATACATTTTAGAGAACAATGGGTAGACTCTTTCACGTTAGATTTTGCTGTTCACAACATCACACAGCACATGTGCTTTCGTTACAAGGTCGCATTTTTCCTCTTATATTGAGAGTCTCCTGGTTTGGTGTGAGAGATCACTCACGCAGTGCCAGGACACAGATTTCAGCTTGCAGGCAGCCATGGTAAGACATATAGTCTTTGGGCTTTTTTAACCTTCTTAACATGTGGGGATGGTTTCAAACAGTTCTGCCCTCATTTCCCATACCAAGCACCCGTGCCATTTAAAATGGGTTTGCAATGTAAAAGGAGGGGCTGCGATTTCAGGTTTAACATGCAGCACAAACCCAACTAACTCCCCTCCCCCTCACACCCAATTCTCTGGGATGGTCACTTCAACCCTCCCCCCCACCGCGTGGTTAACAGCGGGGAATATTTCTGTTCAGCAGACCAGGAAGGGGCACCTCTGAATGTCCCCTTAATAAAATTGCCCCATTTTAACCAGGTGACCGTGAATGATATCACTCTCCTGAGGATAACAAAGAGTGATAAGGAATGGATGTTGTCTGCATGCCAGCAAACACCGGGACCATACGCTGCCATGCTTTGTTATGCAATGATTCCAGACTACGTGCTACTGGCCTGGCGTGGTAAAGTGTCCTACCATGGCGGACGGGATAAGGTAGCCCTCCCCAGAAACCTTTTGCAAAGGCTTTGGGATTACATGAAGGAGAGCTTTCTAGAGATGTCCCTGGAGGATTTCCGCTCCATCCCCATACACGTTAACAGACTTTTCCAGTAGCTGTACTGGCCGCGATTGCCAGGGCAAATTAATCATTAATCATTAAACACGCTTGTTTTTAAACCATGTGTAATATTTACAAAGGTACACTCACCAGAGGTCCCCTGTGTGCCCTCAGGGTCTTGGGTCAGTTCGGGGGTTACTGTTTCCAGGTCCAGGGTGACAAACATATCCTGGCTGTTGGGGTAACTGGTTTCTCCGCTTCCTTGCTGCTGTGAGCTATCTATGTTCTCTCCATCCTCATCTTCCTCGTCCGCCGAACCCGCTTCCCCGTTTGCAGAGAGGGACTCATAGAACACGCTTGGGCTAGTGGTGGCTGCACCCCCTAGAATGGCATGCAGCTCCGCGTAGTAGCGGCATGTTTGCGGCTCTGCCCCGGACCTTCCGTTTGCGTCTCTGACTTTGTGGTAGGCTTGCCTTAGCTCCTTAATTTTCACGCAGCACTGCCGCGCGTCCCTGTTATGGCCTCTGTCCTTCATGGCCTTGGAGATCTTTTCTAATGTTTTGCCGTTTCTTTTACTGTTTCGGAGTTCGGCGAGCACTGCTTCATCTCCCCAGATGGCGATCAGATCCTGTACCTCCCGTTCGGTCCAGGCTGGAGCTCTTCTGCGATCCTGGGACTGGGACTGGGACTCCATCATGGTTACCTGTGCTGATGGGCTCTGCATGGTCACCTGTGCTCTCCACGCTGAGCAAACAGGAAATGAAATTCAAACGTTCGCGGGGCTTTTCCTGTCTACCTGGCCAGTGCATCTGAGATGAGAGTGCTGTCCAGAGCGGTCACAATGAAGCACTGTGGGATAGCTCCCGGAGGCCAGTAATGTCGAATTCCGTCCACACTAGCCCAATTCCGACCCCCTAAGGTCGATTTTATCGCTAATCCCCTTGTCGAGGTGGTGTTAGGAAACCGGTTTAAAGGGCCCTTTAAGTCGACAGAAAGGGCTTCGTAGTGTAAACGTGTCCAGGCTTAAGTCGATTTAACGCTGCTAAAGTCGACCTAAACTCGTAGTGTAGACCAGGCCCTAGTCTTTAAGGTGCCACCAGATTCCTTGTTGTCTTTATTTAATACTATTTTAAATATTCCTGCCCCAGAGGGCTCGCGGGTGCCATACACTAGCTGGGATCACTACCAAGTGATTAAGATCAGTGCGGGGACGACCGGAGCCATGGTGTGTGCACCCCAGAAAACACTGGTACAATCTGGGAAGCTTAAGAAACCCATTTTTCCCGAGGGAAGAGACGATACTTCGGAAACCCCTTGCTCAAGTGACCGCAGATGGGGACGCCCGAGCCCAGCAGGCTCCCGGGCAATCCGCCGGAGCAGGTGGATTTCAGAGTCTCCCTTTCCCGGCAAGGGCGTCCCCCACCTGCAGGGCAGCAAAGCGGGGCTCGGGCTGCGAAGCAGGGGCGCCCTGCCCCAGACGCGGGCGCAGGAAGTTCCCGGCCAGCAGGGCTCCGCCTCCAGCCTGGAGCGGGAAGTGGAGGGGCCTCGCGTCGGCAGCAGCCTCCCGGCCCCTCAGCTCGGGGGCCGTAGGTGACCGACGGCCTAGGGGCGGGGCGCGGGGCTGGCCCGGCGGAAAGTGCTGAGTCACGGCCTGACGCGGGCCGCCGCCGCCCGCCCCCGTCACGTGCTACGCCGGGACACAGGTTCCTGCCGCCGCTTCCGCGCACTGCGTTCCGAGCCGCCGCAGGGGGCACCTGCCGCGCCCGCCGTTCCGAGAGCCCGGGGCCGGCCGCGCCGCCCTGCCCCACTCGGCTGCGGAGGCCTCGGCATGGGGCTGCTGTCGCAAGGCTCCCCGCTGAGCTGGGAGGAGACGCAGCGGCACGCGGAGCACGTGCGCAGGCACGGCATCCTCCAGTTCCTGCACATCTACCGCGCCGTGGCCGAGCGCCAGAAGGACGTTCTCAAATGGGGGGACGAGGTGAGCGGGGCGGGCGGGCGTCCCCCTGGGGCCGGGGGGCAGGTGTCGGGCGGCCGCGAGGGCGGGGGGCCGCTCTGCCTGTCAGCCTCCCTCCCGAGAGCCGCGCTGGGCACCAGCCGGGAGCGGCTCGCGCTCGCCCCCTGGGGGCTGGGCGGGTATGGACCCGGCGGGCGGGGGACCAGGTTGCTGCCGCTGGTGCCTACAGCCCCGCGGGCTGGCAGCGATCGCCGCATCCCCGGCGCCTTTGATTTCGCTGCCTGCTTCGTGTGTGTGGCGCTTCGCTCCCCGGGGGTGGGGGCGGCAACTCTCCGTCGCTGTTTTAACTGCCTCCCCCTGCAGTGTGCGCTGCGGACCAGAGTGATGTTAAACGCTTTCCCGTGGCATCTCTAGACGTGTGATACTTGGGACGCTGCTACCTCCCAGCAACTGCAGTGGGTTGCTTTTTTAAAGCAAAAAAATGTTGTGCTTATTGAGCCCAAGCCCTTTCTGCTTTAAAAAACGAGTCTTAAAAACTAAACTACAGAACAGGGCGATTCATGTTAAGCCTCTGACTTAATAGTCAGGAGTGGGAAATTGTAAGGGGGGTTGGACAGTGTCTAGGAGATTAACTTCAGTGTTAGGTTCCTGGAGACCATCTGTTCAGGATTCTTCTTTTGGGACTTAGCGCCTGAACTTGAGATCGATGGAACCCCCCAGCTCTTCAAGCTTTCCTTTAAAGTCTTGAGTGCACTAGTGACAGAGGTAGAGTGAGTGTCATTCTCCCTACCGTATGGTTCATGGTAAACTACCCCAATTTGCCCCCGCAGACACTATTCTGTATAGGTTCTATTCTATCATCTGTTTTATACTCCAGTACTTAAACAACACTCATGCTCATAGTATCTGAGCATCTTCCAGTCATTCATTAAGCAAGGTGATGTTTATTCTTTCATCCCCTCCTATGTGCCATGGAGTGTTTTAGTAGGTTTTTTGTTTTTAAATACACCTGTTGCTATGTATTTATAAAGTCAAAGTAGTGCTCCTTGTACTTGGAGTGGAAGATGGTGAGGTTTGTGATAGTTTTCAGTTCCTGGAGGAGTTCATTCCACAGCCTTGGACCAGCCTCTGAGAAATTTCTATCTCTTGCACAGAATAACTTAACTCTTATTACTTGAGGCTTCCCTGCCCCACAATGGGATCTAGGATACCACCATTCTGTCAAAAATGTTAAGGAAGAGCTAGCAGGTCACAGCTTGAATCATATTACAAATATTTGGTCTTGTTATCTATAGTTATTGAGTAGTACATCTCCATAGGAGGTAACCTCAGGAGACCTGGGACTCTCTCTTGCATGCACCTCAAGCTCTGTTCATAGATCATTGGATCTCTCTGATTTGACAATCTGCTATTAGGAATAGGTTTTCAAACACTTCCCTTCCAAAGCACAGTAACCACAGGTATAATCCAACCTAGGAAGGGCTCCATTATGAAAGAATTTAGTCTTTAACGGCTTATAAATGCTCTGGAGATTAGGGCAACCCTGTACACACTGGCGGCTGTCAGAGACCTTGTATCCGAAAAGGTGGTCATGGGGCAAGTGCACTGTTGGGCCACCAGGTTTTATGTAAACAATCCAGGAAGGCTTTTGACTGTGCCTCCTGTTTGGGAAGTTCTGCAAGTGTGGGAGTGAGCTCTTGAGCCCCTTGAAGATAGCTGGGCAAAGAGACTGCCCTCTCTGCTGAGGGAATGTAGGTCTCTTCTTTTCTCCACTCTTGGCTGTAGCCCTTCTTAATGTTCTTTCTCTGATGACCAGACACAAGCTACCAAATCTGGCCTGGAAAGAGAGCACGACTGTGGACACACTGTCCATGAGCAGTCTCAGGATCAAGGAGTGGCAGAGGAGAACTCCCGCCTTTTTAGTATGAAAGTTAATTTTTTTTTTAGGTTTTCTATTACATCTTTTTTAATGTTTTCCTCTTCTCTTTTTTTTGTCTTAAATTAGCTTTTCTTTCTGGAAGTTTCCTCTCCCATGCAGAAGAACTGACTGGAGCTATCTGAGGGCAACTTTTATACTTGGCAGATGCAATGCATGATGTTCAGTAGCGGGAATGGCTTGCCCTCTTCTTGGCTGCTGATATTCTCAAGGATCAAAATCTTAAGATCTAGGGGAGTTCTACCAATCTCATGCTAAAGAGCTAAAATGTAGGCCTGAGAAGCCTGTAGGCCTTCAGGGAGGCAGAATTACAGGCAACAAACTTTCCCTCTTTCTGGTTGTCCTGACCTGTTGCCCCAGATGTAGTAATATAGATTTGTGTACTGTATTATGTTGTGCCTTTCAGAGAGCAGGTTAATACCTGTGACTCCTCCTTTAAAAATGTTTTTATAGAGCAAGCAGGAGTTGTCTCAACTCAATCAGAAAAGATTATTTCATTGCTGTTATTTGTTTACCGTTGCTACATAATACATTGACACCTACTAGTTTTACTTGTCAGAGTAGTATCAATCAATGTATGTTAAGATCGCTCTGTCTTGACATATTGTAAGCTGCTATTTCAATGGGTCTTAAGGGATCAACAAGGTATTGGAATCTGTCAAACATTAGTTGGTGAAATTTGTGATTTGAATTTATGGTTCTGTGTGCACACAGAACAGTAACTTATTTTACTTCCATATTTTTTCAGCTCGTAAAATAGTTCGTTTGTATTACACTGACTAGTTGAAAAAGAAATTTGATTTTTAGATTTCTCTGATCAAATAGCCAGAAGGATTGTGGAAAACTTTGTGGCATCTTATGTTGAACTCAGAAGAATTAACCCTGTTTTAAACTTAACAAAAGAAAGTGCTGTGGACTTGGACCTTGTATACCAAATTATAGCTTGAAAAATGTTTTTATTGCCTTGGCTATAAACCCTTAAAGTTAGGAATTAATAATGGAGATGACAGCTCACTTAACTGTAGTGATACAGTTAGGGCTGCTGTAATAAAACTGATGTTATAAAATACTAAACTGCTCAAGATAGTTAAGACCAAAGCAGAGTGAAGAACTTCAAAAAGATCTCACAAAACTAAGTGATTGGGCAACAAAATGGCAAATGACATTTAATGTGGATAAATGTAAAGTAATGCACATTGGAAAAAATAACCCCAACTATACATACAATATCATAGAATCGTAGAATATCAGGGTTGGAAGGGACCTCAGGAGGTCATCTAGTCCAACCCCCTGCTCAAAGCAGGACCAATTCCCAACTAAATCATCCCAGCCAGGGCTTTGTCAAGCCGGGCCTTAAAAACCTCCAAGGAAGGAGACTCCACCACCTCCCTAGGTAACGCATTCCAGTGCTTCACCACCCTCCTAGTGAAATAGTGTTTCCTAATATCCAACCTAGACCTCCCCCACTGCAACTTGAGACCACTGCTCCTTGTTCTGTCATCTGCCACCATTGAGAACAGCCGAGTTCCATCCTCTTTGGAACCCCCCTTCAGGTAGTTGAAGGCTGCTATCAAATCCCCCCTCATTCTTCTCTTCTGGAGACTAAACAATCCCAGTTCCCTCAGCCTCTCCTCGTAAATCATGCGCTCCAGACCCCTAATCATTTTTGTGGCCCTCCGCTGGACTCTTTCCAATTTTTCCACATCCTTCTTGTAGTGTGGGGCCCAAAACTGGACACAGTACTCCAGATGAGGCCTCACCAATGTCGAATAAAGGGGAACGATCACGTCCCTCGATCTGCTGGCAATGCCCCTACTTATACAGCCCAAAATGCCGTTAGCCTTCTTGGCAACAAGAGCACACTGTTGACTCATATCCAGCTTCTCGTCCGCTGTGACCCCTAGGTCCTTTTCTGCAGAACTGCTCCCTAGCCATTCGGTCCCTAGTCTGTAGCTGTGCATGGGATTCTTCCGTCCTAAGTGCAGGACTCTGCACTTGTCCTTGTTGAACCTCATCAGGTTTCTTTTGGCCCAATCCTCTAATTTGTCTAGGTCCCTCTGTATCCGATCCCTACCCTCTAGTGTATCTACCACGCCTCCTAGTTTAGTGTCATCGGCAAACTTGCTGAGAGTGCAGTCCACACCATCCTCCAGATCATTAATAAAGTTATTAAACAAAACCGGCCCCAGGACCGACCCTTGGGGCACTCCGCTTGAAACTGGCTGCCAACTAGACATGGAGCCATTGATCACTACCCGTTGAGCCTGACGATCTAGCCAGCTTTCTATCCACCTTACAGTCCATACATCCAGCCCATACTTCTTTAACTTGGCAGAAGAATACTGTGGGAGACCGTATCAAAAGCTTTGCTAAAGTCAAGGAATAACACATCCACTGCTTTCCCCTCATCCACAGAGCCAGTTATCTCATCATAGAAGGCAATTAGGTTAGTCAGGCACGACTTCCCCTTGGTGAATCCATGCTGACTGTTCCTGATCACTTTCCTCTCCTCTAAGTGTTTCATAATTGATTCCTTGAGGACCTGCTCCATGATTTTTCCAGGGACTGAGGTGAGGCTGACTGGCCTGTAGTTCCCCGGATCCTCCTCTTTCCCTTTTTTAAAGATGGGCACTACATTAGCCTTTTGATGATGGGGGGCTAATTTAGCTACAACGAATCAGGAAAAAGATCTTGGAGTCATCGTGGATAGTTCTCTGAAGACGTCCACGCAGTGTGCAGAGGCAGTCAAAAAAGCAAACAGGATGTTAGGAATCATTAAAAAGGAGATAGAGAATATATTATTGCCTTATATAAATTGATCGTACGCCCTCATCTCTAATACTGCGTACAGATGTGGTCTCCTCATCTCAAAAAAGATATACTGGCACTAGAAAAGGTCCAGAGAAGGGTAACTAAAATGATTAGGGGTTTGGAATGGGTCCCATATGAGGAGAGATTAAAGAGGCTAGGACTTTTCAGTTTGGAAAAGAGGAGACTAAGGGGGAATATGATAGAGGTATATAAAATCATAAGTGATGTGGAGAAAGTAGATAAGGAAAAGTTATTTACTTATTCCCATAATACAAGA